TGGGAGGATCACCTTTCACTTATTAAGTTTGCCTACAACAACAGTTATCAGGCGAGTATTGAGATGGCTTCATTTGAGGCGTTCTATGGCAGACCTTATAGGTCACCAATTTGTTGGACCGAGGTAGGCGAGACAGCCGCCTTAGGACCCGACATAGTATTCGAGACTACTGAGAAAATTAAATTGATCAAATAGAGATTGCTCACAACTCAAAGCCGACAGAAGAGCTATGCAGATAGGTAAAGATGACCGTTATCTTTTGAGGTGGGAGACCATGTTTTTCTACGGGTTTCTTCACGGAAAGGGTTGATGAGATTTGGGAAAAGTGGTAAGTTATCGCCATGATTCAGTGGACCGTTTAAGATCTTAGACCGTATAAGAGAGGTTGCCTATAGACTTGCTTTGCCATAACAGATGGACAAGGTTCACAATGTATTTCATGTGTCGATGTTACGGAAGTATGAACTGGATCTATCATACGTTTTGGATTGGGTTGATGTGGAAATTGATGAGGATGTCTGTTATGAAAAAGGGCCAGTTCAGATCCTTGACACATGGTAGAAGGTGTTAAGGGACAAGGCGATACCGTTGGTAAAGGTTTTTTGGAGACACCATGGAATCGAGGAGGCTACTTGGGAACTTAAACGAGAGGTTCGCTCCAAGTACCCGGCGTTGTTTTCTTCCCCAAGTATGGCTTGGTTTCAGGGACAAAATCTTTTTAAGTTGAGGAGATTCTGATGTTTCCATTTTATGTCATTTTCTATTTTTCCGGAATTTTTGTTGTTGCAAGGGCATTTTCATCTTTTTGCCGTTTTTCGTATCGGACACTGTGGAGTGTGCCGGTTGTGTCCGAGAGTTGTTTGGGGCATTTCATTGAGTTCAGGACTCTTTGAAATGCAAGGGTGATCATTCTGGCATTTTTCAGTTTTTCGGGCAGGACGGTTCCGTGTGGGACCCGCTACCGGAATTGTTGAACACGAAAATTTGGGTTGGGTCCATTTGCATTATATTTATTTTATTCAATATTTATATGTGGTTATTGTATAGTTAGTGTATATATATATATATATATATATATATATATAAGTTTAGTGTGTGAATTAATAAGAAAAACAAAAACAAAAAAAAAAGAAAAGAAAAATGAAGTAGGACCAACCCCCACCTTAAAGAGGGTTAGAGACCACCCTTTGCTCTTTTATTTCTCTCTTCTCCCGCAGGTCTCTCTCTCACTCTCTCAAAATTGCATTTTTTCTTTTCTTTTGCTTTAAGAGCTTCAAAGCTTGATTCCTCCTTTAATTCTTGGAATTTTTAAGTGCCCTTTGCGGCAAATTGAAGCTCACGGCGAGATTTACAAGTTGATCGGAGCCAATATCCATTTGGCCACCATATAGGGGATTTCAAAATCCTAGGGTTTGAGGAGAATTTGGGGTTTTTCATCCATTTAAAGGTAAGGGTCTCTAATTCATGTTTTCTTATTCTTTTGTGAGTTAATTTCTAGTTAATTGATGTTAACATGCTTAATTAAAGTTAATCTCTCTTAGAATGATTTTATTGTGGTTATAAAGTTCATAATTTTACATATATGTTGATTTGTATGAAGAACATGCCCAAGTGTTGATTTTCCACGATTATTGCGTTGTGAATTTGCTAGAGATGATATATGTTTACATGTATGATTTCATTGGATTGTATAATGTGAAAATCTCTTATTTCCATAGTATTGAAGGCATGAGACAAACATGCATGTCATTGGGCATGAAAGAAGGGAAATGTTTTGAAAAGAATAAAAAGGGGGTTTTGGGGAAAAAAAAAAAAGTTTCGAGAAAAGGATTTTTGTGAAAACCCGGACACCAAGGGGGTACCGAGGGTCCGTGGTGTTGATGTAGCGTAGAGGGAACTAAGGAGATCGCCCTAGCGTGGTTGAGCTATCTAGGCCCCAAATGACGCTGCAGGGTTACCAAGGGTCAGGGACAATAGTCAATCCTTCTCTCGTGTCGCTAAGGGGGTACCGAGGGACGGGTTACATTAACGGTTTGAAAAGTGAAGAATGGAAGTGATTTTAAGTATGGGGAGCGACATACATGGCATCACATATCATGGCACTACATTGTTTATTATGAAATTGAAATCAATGTTGTATTCCTTTCCGGCATAGCATGACCCCTATCCACTATTTCTATTCATTATTTGGATTCAAGGGGCTACAAGAGGTGTGTCTTAGGCACCACCTATTGAGCAATTTGCTCACCCCATTATATTTAACATTATTCAAGGCACGGTAAAGAAGTAGCGGACGATAATCCACCACCAGCTTAGTACAGCTGACGGACTTGGACTTTTTGTGTTCGATGTGTATATTAACCCATTTTATTGTAAATGATATTGGAGGACATTTAGCATCTTCTACATGTTTGGAAATGGTCTTGAGACCATTCATTGTATTTTGTGGTCTCAAGTTGATTTCAACATCCATGTAAGGCCTTAAGGCCATATTTTTTATGTATAACGCTTTCACTTAACTTTAATGGTGTATCGGACTCATGTATGGCCTTATTTGATTTTAATACTACTTAGTTATGTTAGGTTTGTCATCAAATGGAAAAACTGAGACAGGTTTGCGCTTTGTGTAAGTTCACCAAAGGACCAAAGTGATGCCAAGGAGTATAAGACTTAAATTTTAGGCTGTAGGGGGCGAATTGAGGTTCTGGACATCTTGAACCGGTTCAACCCTATTGAACCGTTCAAAGGGGGCCCTAGGGTTCAAGAATGAGCATTCTACCTATCTTGAACCGGTTCAAGTCCTCCAGTGGATCACTTTGCCTTGACAGCCTACCAGCTTTGATCACCTGACTTCGTACGACCATAACTTCTTCGTTTGGAGCCCAAATAGGGTCATTCTTGAGTCCATTTTCAAGGATTTTGAGTTAGCTTTTCAATGAGGCTAAGATCATCCTTAAATTCCATTCATGTTGAGAGTTATGGGTATTTTAGTGGGACAGTGTCAGAATTTCCCTTGAACCGGTTAAGGGTACTTTTGGGAATTCATAACCAATGACCGTAGAACTTCACCGAGTGTCATAAAATGATTAAGAATGAATATTTTAAACCCCATGTGATTAGTTAAGGATGGATTACCCTCTCATATTGTAAAATGACTAATTTTCCCTTAGTATGTCCACGGGTTTGGTTAAGGACCCGGTTAGCGATTCGGACCCCTAGTTTGGGTCGTTACAAAGGTATTAATCAAGGAAGGTTAGAAAATGCAGAAGATCATCAAGGGGGTGTAATAGCTCCACAAGGTCTAGAAAATGAAAAGGGTCCTTTACAAGGGGATCCTTTATCACCTGGAAATGGTAATTCTTCTAAGAAATAGAAAAAAGGGAATCGAAAGAAGGAAGTGGAGATTGATCCATCTGTGGTGAGAGTCACTAGAGGCATGGTCGCGGGTGGGGTTGCACCTCTTAATCCAATTGTTTAATGATTGGTTTATGAAAGTTAGGGGACTCAATAGGAAGGCTATGCAAAAAGAAGTTAAGGCCTGGTTGAGTAATTCATCTTTATCATTGTGTGGACTTGTGGAAACTAGAGTTCAAGGTTTGAAATTTCAGAAATTAATAGATCATATTAGAAGGAATTGGAGTTGGGTGAATAATTATTCAGCTAATGCTAGAGGTCGTATATGGTGTGGTTGGGATCCAATGAAGATGATTGTTTCAGTCATGAAAGTTATAGCTCAAATGATTCTATTGCAAGTGGAGACTAGAGGGTCTTACAATAGGTTTTTTGTTACTTTTGTTTATGCCAAAAATATAATAACAGAAAGACTATTTTTGTGGAAGGATCTTATGGATAGTGCTCAGCATGTCAATGGTCCATGGATTTTACTTAGGGATTGGAATATAGTAAGGTTAAATTCTGCAAAATTGGGTGGCAAACATCACTCCGCTAGGGTGTTTCAAGACTTTAACAATACTATTGATACATTGTCCTTATCTGATATCCCAGTGATTAATGGGGTTTACACATGGTGCAATAACAGATTTAGTGAACATAGGGGTTGCTAAGAGTAAAATTCGGGACGCACCTCTGGTGTACCAGTTATCCTGCCCACGGTAAACGCTAGATTAGACAGAGGTTTGAAGAATGAGGCTTGGGAGCAGGCATTTCCAGATTCTCAAATTGATCTGACTCCTCCATTGACTTCTAATCATTGGGGGTTGTGGGTTAAATGTCCTTTAAAGATTACAGATGGGTCAAAACCTTTTAGATTTCTATCAGTGTGGAATTTACAACTAGCAGTTAAAGATTTAATTGCTAAGGTGTGGAAAGTGAGGACTACTGGTGATCCAATAAAGAAGTTCTTATATAAGTTAAAACTGGTGAAACAAGCTATAAAGGAGTGGAACAAGGATAAATTTGGGTTAGTGTATGAGCAGGTTATTGGGTGTAGGAATTCTCTTGCTGTGATTCAACAGTCATTGAATAATGACTCTCTAAATGATGATCTGATTGAGCTTGAGAAGGATAGTAGGATGAATTTAGAACTACTATCTCAAATGAGACTGTTTTATTAGCTCAGAAATCAAGAGTTCGATGGACAAAGGATCAAGAGAGATGTTCTAAGTATTTTTTTTCAGAAAATTAAACAGCATAGATCCAATAATAATATCTTGGTGTTACATGATGAGGGTGAGGTGATTACTGATACTAACAGAATCAAAGATAAGTTTGTGGAGTATTATAAGTCTGCTTATGCAAATGTCCATCTTGTGCAATGTAATCCTGATGTTAAGTTTATCAGGAAAACTTTGACTATAGAGGAAGGTGAGGATTTAGAAGCTCCTATATCCAGAGAGGAAGTGAAAAATATTGTTCTTTCAATGGGGCCTGATCGTGCACCTGGACCAGATGGTTTCACTGCAAGATTTTTTCAAAAATTCTAGAATATTGTGGGTGAGCAATTTACTGATGCCATTATATTTTTCTTTAATCACACTGATATGGATAGAGGTATTAATGGTACCTTTATTACATTGATTCAAAAGAAACCAGAGGCTCTAAAGGTTGGAGAATATCATCTAATTTCATTATGTAACACATTCTATAAGGTTATTGCAAAGATTCTTTCCAATAGATTGGCAAGTGTGTTGGGTAGGATTGTTGGTAAAGAACAGACAGCTTTTGTTCAGGGAAGAAGAATTCAGGATAACATCATTATGGCTCATGAACTCTTGAAAGGTTTTGGATCAAAATTTGCTAAACCGAAGTTGGCTTGGAAGATTGATTTGTAGAAGGCATATGATACGGTTTAGTGGTCATTTCTGCTGAAAATTATGGATCTGTTTGGCTTTGGTTCTAAATAGATCAATTGGATTTATAGGTGTATCTCTTCAGTTTGGTTTTTAGTTATTGTTAATGGCTCTCCTTATGGGTTTTTTCAACCAGAGCGAGGACTAAAACATGGTTGTCCTCTATCTTCCTTGCTTTTTACTTTAGTTATTGAGTATTTTTCTGGAACGATTGCAGCAGAGGTACAGTGCGGTAAGATTATTCCAACACAGGCTGCAATACAAGCTGGTATACCTATTACTCATCAGTTTTTTGCTGATGATTTTTTGATGGTGGTGAGAGCTAATATGGCTACTATCCTTACTTTAAAAAAGATTTGATTTTGTTTGAAAATACTACAGGTCTAGCTATAAGTAAGGAGAAATCTGAGGTGTTCCTCATTGATTTTGTTGAAAGAAGGGTTGAAATTGTTAGAAGTCTTGGTTGTAAAGTTGGAAATTTTCCATTTACATACCTTGGGGTGCCAATTTTTGACAAAATGTTGCATACCAGAGACTGCAATGACTTGATTGATAAAGTGATTTCTTTTACAACTAGGTGGAATGGTCTTCACCTTTCTATGGCTAGCAAAGTGGAATTGTCTAGAGCTTGCATCCTTCCCTTAGTTTAATATTGAACTTCTATGTACACTCTTCCTTCTGTGGTTATTAACCTGATAGAGAGAAGAATGAGGAATTATATATGGGGCCATGTGGAAGATAAGAAGAAGATGCATGGTTTAAGATGGAATAAATTGGCTGCTCCTAAGGAGGAAGGAGGTTTTGGGCTGAGACGGCTGGTTGATATTGATAAAGCTTCAAAGTGTAGCATTACATGGGATTTCCTGTTGTCTAAAGACAGAATTTGGGTGGCTTGGTTCCAGAAAAAAATATTTGAAAAATTCTTCTTTTTGGAATGTTATTTAAAGGGATGCTGATTCTTCCATCTGGAATTTTAGTAGTTTGTGATGTGATTAAAGAGAATTGTGGATACAGTATAGGGAATGGTCACAACATTAAAGCTTTTTTAGATCCATGGTGTGATTGTAAATGCTTAGGTTATCTTTTTAGCAACAGATTATTGGGGTATCTTAGCAGAAACAAACAATGTCTGTTGCAGAAATTCATTACTGTGGTCATTGGGATGACGAGTAACTGTTAAACACTAATCAAGAGCTGAGACAGGTTTTTTATAATCACAGAATTATTGGTGGAGAGGATTAACTTCGATGGAAGATTCCATTCAGTTTTAAAGCAGCTTGGGAGGATTGTAGAACTCTAGGACAAGTTGTTGGTTGGGCAGGATTGTGTTAGAGTGGAGGGAGGCCAAGATGGTCTACACACTCAGTACTTGTTCTACAGAAGGCTGTACTCACTCATTGCTATTTGAATTACAAAGGTTTCTCTCTTGCTTCAAAATGCTATATGTGTTACCAAAATGGCAAAACTTTAGATCATTTGTTTTGTAGTTGTAGTTATTCTTGGAAGGTGTGGTCCATTCAAACTAGAATTCTTGGTTGGGATTTACAGAAGATGTTGAAGTGCAGGAGTTGGTTGATGTGTTTACTCAAAGCTTTAAGGGAAAGGAGAATAAACTGAGTCGTATTGTTTTCACAGCCATGCTTTATTTTTTTTGGAAAGAAAGGAATGAGAGGATGCATAATGCTCTATGTAGAGATGCATTGTAATTGGCTAAGTGTATTCTTTGGGAGGTTCTTAATGTAATGGGGGTTAGCCTTTAGGATGTCCTGTAACCTTATTTGTTTGTTTTGTGGTTTCATTGGCCTGTCTTTGACAGGTTTTGTTTGTAAAGTAAGGGTATGCCTTTGCTAATTCTCCATGTACTATATTGTTAATATTTTATAAAATCCTTCATTTACAAAAAAAAAAAAAAAAGATTGCAAAAAAATTGAAATCAAAGGAAGAAATACGCAAATCAAATTTGCATAAAAAAGGAAAACATATAGCACATATGATGTAGAAAGGGGAAGGAATAAAGAAGAAAAAAAAAAAAGAAAAAAAAGAAAGAAAGAAGAAAGATTTAAGGTGTGAAATCAATAGAAAAATCATGAAGTTTTCAGAATTAAAAATGAACAAATCAGCAAAGAACACTTCCCCAGAAACTATGAAACAAATTGACGATTTGCAATCTTGGTGATATGTGGCATCGACAATCATGGGCGCGATCTGGATTTTGCCGAATTGTGTAAGCTTCACCAGTGGGTTTGTGCAGCCATGAATTATTGTCACATACAGAGATATATATTGATTATAGTAAAATGACTCAATTAGCCCTTAAATTAAAAGTCATATGAGTATTTTTAAGGGTATATTTGTCCCAAACAAATACAATTTAATACAAATTAGACAAAAGGGTCATTTTACATGGCTTATATTTATAGTTACTAATTTATTCAACTAAAGTGAGGGTATTGTCGTCATTTTATACCACATAGGAACCTATTTGCACCAAATTGATAGTATAGGATTTTTTTTTTTACCACATAGAGATCGTTTTGCACTATATCGATAGTAGATGGGATTTTTTTGCACCTAACCCTAACAATAACACCCATTTTAGTAGTCGATGAGAAGTAATGATTATAGTACTTCCATTGATAAATGAAAAACGTTATTGAAAAGAAAAAAAGATAGAAAAAGAAAACACATACTGAGTCAAAGATCCAGCCCAACAATGGAAAGGTCATAAATATTATTGAAATTATTATTATTATTTTTTCATGACAAAAATGGATTAGGGGATTATCAAATCATCTTTTTAATTCATTAACTTCATAAAAATCGTCATCATCGCGTCATCGTGGATAGCCTAGTCACAATTATGATGTGAGCTTGTCATGTAACTGGTGTTCCTAAACTTTTGATTAATTCTGGAGAGCGGATTTTATTAATTGCATTTTATACAAGCAAGGTGAAAGCAGCATCATGTCATAAATTACATATATCTATGATGTATCTATTTTGAAGAGTGTCAGTATTTAATTAATGAATGATATTATGTCATCAATTGTTCGGCTCCTGAAAACTGGGGTTCCACTTTCTAAGTGAATGGAATGTAAGGGTGAATGTCGGGCGTGCCAGAAACTGCTGTCGTTCCAAAGTAGATATCCGAACAACTATCCAGTAGGAGATTGTAGGGATCAAGCGATTGTATGAAGGACTGGAATTACCACCTTCGGAGGTTCCTTTTGCCTTGAAAAAGGACTTTTGGACTGCACTATGGCTAGTGGAAAGGAAAGCGGTATTGAAAGTGCAGGACTTCAAAGTAAAGTATTGGAAAGTAGGAATAATAAGTGCGGGACTTGAATTAAACATATTGAAAGTGCATTACATGAATATAAAGATATATGAATGTAAAGATAATGAAGTATTGTTTGGCTGTGTGATTTGAATAGGGTTTACAAGCGAAGCCTAAGTGATCTATTTATAGAGTTTTCCATGCATGCATAGCAGCCTTGGCAACTTCCACTTGTATTGATTTCGGGTTGCCAAAAGTCCCACGATTCTTTTGGCAGTTATAACTTCTTCCTTCCATCTTCTTCTAACCACTTTGTCTTCCACAATTTCTTGTTCCCTCTTTTCTACCGTAAATACCTTCCCCTTCAAACACGATTTAATTAGCTTTGTCATCCATAATTTACAATAACTTCTCTTCAATTAGTGGTAGCAGTTGCACGAAATACCACCACTTCCAATTGACATATCCTTATTTGGCCAAGTGTCCCATGAGTCTTATAATCCCCTCCTTCTTTAAACTCCCTCTCTTTCCCTAATTCCATATATACATGAGTGTATATAGGAATTATTACAAACCCACGTTCCCTCTTTTAACCGAACTTCCCTTCTTGAATCTTCCATAACATCGTGGCCTCTTGAATTTCAACGTCTGCTTCATTATGGACTATATCTGACATTAATATATATGTATAAATATATATATTTATGGATACAAATCATCCTACACCCTTTTCTTCTGTAGACCACACCTCATTGATTTTAGCTGAACTTTCCATATTAATCTTCATGGCGTCGTGGTTACTTTTCATTCTTCCACTGACTCTACATCATGGGTTGCGGTTATAACACACCTCCCTGATTTTAGCTTTTATCATGGGTTGTTCCTTCCATGAATAGATATATCATCTTCTATATTGGACAATCACGTCTCCTTAATTTTAGCAGCTTCCCTTCAGCTTTGCCTCATTTAGAACCCATGGCACCATGTATTCCTTCCTCACAGCAGTTACTTCATCGTGGGCTAAATCTGATATATATATATATATATAGAAATTAAACTCCCACGTCTTGTTAAATTTTAGCAAGAGAAGTTGACTTGGCTAAACCATTGTTGAAGCCTCCTAAAAATAAGGAGAAAACCAAACCCACGTTCTCCTTCTTCTTGTTTAATCAACTTTGGTTTTGCCATAATAGTAAGTCCCTAGTTTAAAAATCACAATAATGACTTTAAAAGGAACTAATATATCATGATCAGGACTATGGTAAGTTCAATGGAACTCGCCACATATGGTAAGATTTATTCACCCAGGAAAAGGTGGGCCCTTGTTTTAAAGATGGCAAGTCCTAATTGGACTTGCCTCTTTCCTTTTAATAGAAACAGAATCCATACAGCAAGTTCCACTGGAACTTGCCACATACTTCCTTCTTATTGGTGAATAACACAAAACTTCAACAACTCCATATTATGCTTCCTCTTTTAGATTTTTAAAAGAATTGATCTAATGTAGCAAGCTCATTGGAACTCACTATATATCACCTTTCCATTGGGCTAAAATAATGGAGTAAACATATGCCCCCCAAATTCCATGCCATGTGGAACAACTTAATGATAAGGCATGGGATTTGAATTCCGCCATCATGACCCACTTAAAATTCCAACTTCCTCTTTTCATGCGGCTAACATCTTTGTTTCCTTCAATAACTATTTATTCCACCGCTTATTTGAAAAGTACCACATATTCCGAGAAGATCCTATCCATTTATGGCAAAAACTTCATTCCTTTTTAAATTTTGAACTCTCCAAACAAATCCCCTTAAAAATCGTCATTGGATTTAGACAACCCAAGTAATCATTAGTTGAAGAGTTTCTACACAACACGCTGCTAGTTCCTCGATTTCCTCCATATTAACCCTCATCTGTCGCCAACTTCCAAAAGAACATTCCATGTCCCAATATAAGTCCTATCCATTTATGGCTAAAACCATCAAGCTAGCTTCCTAATCTTTATTACCTTCTTTTGAATTTTGAAAATCCCAACTACCAACCCTCAGAAAATGTAGCTTTCTCATTACTTCTATATATATGCATGTATATCTCTCATCCTCATCACAAAAGCTCTCTCTTTTCCCTCTTTCTTCTCCTCCAACCAAACCCTAAAAAATAGCAAAACTCTAACCTTGTAGAAGTAACGAACCATGGCTCCTGTCAAAGCTAAGAAACCTCCCAAACAGACCACTAGTTCCTCTCTTCCAACCCCTTCAATTCGACCTAAAATCAAAACTCGAAGCCCTAGCCATCAAGTCCAATTATTTCTGCAATCCCTGAATCTTGCTAGGCTACATCTCAACCCTCTGGTTCCCTTGAAGATTCTTCAATCGGGCTTGGACCGGCCTTTACAGGTGTGGCCCCTTCCGAGTTGGCAGAGTTCTACCCTTTCGATACGTCTCCTCTCCCCTTTGATTTGGAGTTCCCTCTTATTTTAAAGAAAGTAAAGCCCTCCTTCAGTATAAGGAATTGGCCACCATATCGTTCCTCTTGGACTTTCTGGGTGAATCGTCTTTCCAAAGATGAAAAGATTTCCTCACAGTGGAAAAAAACAAGAAATCTTGGATATTATCCATATTAGCAAGGCCTCCATTACACTTGACCCAAACCTTCTCTTCCCAGCCCTTTTTTCTAGTCTTCAACCATAAATGCCCTTCATTTGAGATGCGGAATGATGCCCCCAACCTTAAGGGATATTTGCTGTATTACTGGCCTCAAACCTCATGGAGATGATGTTAATGCCACTCTCTATGTTGACCAATTGCCTTTTCCCATCAAAAACACTGGCAATAAGAAATTTGTCTCATCCCACCTTTCTTTCATCAAACACTATAAAAGAAACGGGCAGTCGAAGAGGACGAGCACATAGCTTTCCTAATTTGTTGGCTTTCTGGCTACTTGCTATGCGCTCCATCCGGGCAAGTTACCAAGGACTTTGTTTAAGTTGCCATATCTTTGGCCAGGAATGGAGATTTAGCATTGGCTCCCCTCGTACTTTCTCATCTATACAGAGGTCTGAATGACCTCCTTACCTCCAAATTTTTAAGATTTCAAGGCCCTTTCTGGTTGTTCCAAATGTGGCTTAAGGTGTATTTCCAAGACAGAACTTCCCCTCTTACCATGCAAACTGGAAAAAACCTTCTATGTTATCCCTTAGCTACAGCAGCCCCTTCCTCTTTCAGCTTTGCTGAAAACTTTGAGTATTTTTACAACCAATGTGAAATGGGAGATGACAAATTCTTTGACCCGTTTACTTTCCTTGGTCGCATGCCATCATGGCTAGTCCCTTCTCCAGGGGTTTCCACCAAAAAACATTCTGGAGAATGGAAAAATATCTGGGCGAGCTTTCTACTTGCTCAAGATCTTCATTACAACACTGCCAATCCTACTCTAAGGAACAGCTTTTGTGGCCTGGAATTCTACAATCCAGCTCAACTAGCTAGGCAAATAGGATTCACCCAACTCATTCCCTTACCGCCATACAAATCTCAGAACAGATACTTCAATCAAAGAGTGAGGATCATAGATGTTACCAAATTTGCTGCAATTGATAAAGCTTATGAAGTGGAAAGGTTGACTTTCAACTTTCAAGGCCATACTAGTAAGCCTCAGTCTCCTAATGAGTTTACCGTATGGTGGACGGCCTACATTTCTTCCACTCGGACGAAAAATCATAAGGTCGTTTGTGACACTATTTTAGCCTCCTTTGAACCCTTATCTCCAGGTAACATGTACTCTTAGTGAACTTTGCCTTCCATCTTTTTCTGTTCCCTTTCCATATACTAAGGATTTAACTTAAAATTCCTCAGATGGAGAAGAAGAAATTCAAGAGGAAAGTGATGAAGAAGAAAGTGAAGAAAAAAACACTGTTTTGCCCACCAAAGTTGAAAGTGTGGCTGAGAGTGGTAATGTGAGTCACGAACTTATCTCTTCTAGTGACGAAGAAGAAGAAGTGGAAGTTGAGGAAGAAGAGGAAGAAGAAAATGCCTTGTATAAGGCAAAAGGAAAAGAAAAAATATCTCAGGTATTTCCAACAAAGCCAGACTTAACTTTTCCAACTTTTGGATTTTCCTAATATCTCCTTTTGTAGGGACTGGCCATTGTAAAGAAAGAGTTTCAACCCTAGTTTTCTTCCTCTGATGAAGATTCTTCCAATGATGATGGTATTTCCAAAGGGCAAACTCATACTCAGCATTCTGTCAAAACAATCACCAAGCATAGTCCCACTGGAAAAGTTGCTAGAAAAGCAAAAAGGAAAATTGACTTGGAAAAGGCCGAAGAGTTCAAACAGCCAAAAGACTCTCCAAAAATAAAAAAAGTTAAAACCAACCAAAGAAATTTTTTTGTAAGTCTCATTTGTTATCTCCTTTACCTTTTTAATCTCTTGAAATATTCATAATCCCCCTTACACTTGATCAATATGGCTCTACTAATATTCAACCAGATGCACAAGTTGCCCAAGGAGAGGATTTAGACCTTCAAGCCTCTATTATGGAAAGTCTACTGTCCAAAGTGGGAAAAGTCTGTCTATTCCAATTCCAACTATTGGAACCTCTATTCCTGCTGGTACAAGTGGAACTTCTACAGGCCCTCCTCCTCCCATCCTAAAGGCAAGTCTTCATGCGTTTAAGCTTCGCCTCCTTTCTTACTTTCTGTCTAATAAACAAAGCTTTTCTTTCCTTCAGGCCACCCCATCTTTGTCCACATCAACATCTTTCACAATGCATAGAGGAGCTCTCCCAGTGGCCGATCTATACAAAGTGATCAAGGCCACTCAGTCTTCAAGCACTTCAACCTCAAGTGCTAACATGCTCATGCTTCCAGATCCCTCAGAAGATATTATCACAGCAGTTAAAGGAAAATTGTTATCTTATCTTGCTTATGATGTGGAAAAAGTTGTCACTTTCCATTATGACCTGGCCAGAACTATTGTCACCCTGAAGAAATAACCTAGATTTCTTGATTACATTCAAGCTGCCTTAACCAAATTACAACATCAACTTCAGTTCATTGTTTCCTATGTGAATTCCAGTTCTTCCTCCCTTTCAGAATATGAAAGAAAGGCTAAACTTAGGGACAAAGCCTTTGAAAGTTTTTATCTTACTTTAGCACCCTACCCAGAGATCAAGGCATGAGCTAAGGAACTTGCAGCCAAGAAATACACATAGACTGAGGAGCTAAACAAAATTTAAAAAGAACTGGAACAAGTGGAACGTGATACGTTTGAACTGAACCAAACTGCTAGTGCCATTCTTACTGAATCTGAGCCTCACAGGAAAGAATGGGTAAGTCTGGTGAATGAATTTCCCCAACTTGAAGAAACAAAAACTAGGGCACTAGCTACCCTTGAAGAAGCAAGGAAACTTTGGATGGATCTTGGAGGTGTTCTTGCTTCCATTTAATATGGTTCTCTTATGATACTCTATGGTTGTTAGTAAGAAAATAAATAGATTACTTTGAAATCTTTGCCATGGCCAGCTTTTGAGGATTAGCGGCCATTTTTGAAATATATCATGAAATCAAAGTATCTAATGGAAATAATGTTCATCTTCTCAATTCTTTTGTATGTGCCTTTTGCATGGGAAATTTTAAGTCCTTGAAAACTGGAAAATCCCATCATATTCATTAACAACAAGGCATAACCATAACATGGCTTTCCATAACAAAGGAATTTAAGAGAACAAAATAAATTGCTAGCATAGAAAGAACATGTATGTACAAGCAAGATAAGTAGTTCCTAATATGAATAAAACCTGGACTATGTAATGTAGCCTCTTTCTCACTGAAGCATTCCATACTTAGAAAAATCATCTGATCTTGGAAAGATAGTTGAGTCTCATTATGTCTGTAGCCAATATACCTTTTCAAGCATTTAGCTTTTCTTCTTTTAAATGACTCCTTCATACTTAACTATCAAAAATGGCCAAAATATGACCATTATCCTTCCTTTCTAACTTTCCAGTTTACTTGGAAAGGAAGCTACCAGTCAAGTTACGTGGCTAGTGGAATGATTATAGATTTTTAGCTTTCATAAATGAAAGGATGATACTCTTTCAAGTATACACCATTCACAGGATGCTTGTGAGATTCTCCATCTATGTTCATTAATCTATAAGGCCCTTTTTCCAAGGACTCATTCCACCAAGTAAGGACCCTTCCAATTAGGGGTCCACTTTCTATATTCCTTGTCTTTGACTCCTGGTGGAAATCTGACTTGCCATACTAGGTCTCCTTCAACAAATGTCTTTGCATTAACCTTCTTGTTATATGCCCGTATGACTTTCTTCTTTTGAGCAATAATATGGTCCAAGGCATTAAGACGGACTTCATCAAGGTCTTCCAATTCCACCAACATGGCATGGTTGTAATCTGTTGGAGTAAGCTTGTTTTGGAAAGCCACTCTTACAAACCTTATGGTCATTTCCATTGGAAGAATGGCATCATGTCCATATGTAACCATATATGGTGTGACGCTAGTACTTGATCTTTTTGAATTTTTGTAAGCCCAAACAGCCTCAAAAAGTAGGTGATGCCACTCCCTTGGATGAATCTCAATCATTTTTTCAAGGATATTGAGAATTACTTTGTTGGAAGCCTCAGCCTGTCCATTTGATTAGGCAAAATATGGAGTGGAACTGATCACTTGGACGCCACACTCAGCACAATAATCAAGAACTTTGTTTCCAACAAAGGAAAGTCCTCTGTCAATGGTGATAGTCTCTGGAATTCCAAACCTATGAATAATGTGCTTCTTGATAAAATCAATCACTGTTGGCTACTTACAGGTCTTTAATGGAATAGCCTCCACCCATTTTGTAAAGTAATATGTTGCTACCACAATATGAGCATGGCTATCTACAGATGGTGGTGTTAACTTTCCAATAAAGTCCAAAGCCCACCCTCTGAATGGCCATATTTTTACTGCCGGCTACATATTGATAGCTGGAACTCTTTGGACCGGTCCATGTTCCTGACATGCAATACAAGTCTTTGCAAACTTTATGCAATCCTTCAGTATACCCTTCCAATAATAATTGTACCTTCTCAAAAGCCACCCTATTTTGATTCTAGCTTGATGTGCTCCGCATATTCCAAGGTGTGATTCTGCCATCACTCTCATGGACTCACTCCTGCCAAGATATCTTAGCAAAAGCCCATCTTCTTTACTTTTCTTGTAAAGATCTCCATCAATCAAAATATAATAAGGTGCCAAAAGCTGAATTCTTTTGTTCACATTGGTACTAGGCTCCTGCAAGAAATGGATAATTGGTGTTCTCCAATCTTCCAAGTCTAAGCCATCTATATCAACATTGAAAATCTCCCATGTTTTCTTAGCAGGTTTGATCCTTTCTGGCTCATCAGTTTGGAAATGACCTGCCATCTCATATCGTGACTCTATAAAAGGGAGAGTCTTTCTTTTGATTGTGATTAAAGTTTCTTCTACACCCGGTGGGACTTTCACTCAGGAGGCTAGTTGTGCTAAATCATCAGCCTCCATATTCAAATGTCTTGGCCAATATTTGAGTTGGAAATCATCAAACTGGCAAAGTAATTCCAAGGCCAAAGAATGGAAAGGCCTCA